AGCTTGATATTTTTTTCTTCTTTCTTCATTTCAATGCATTTTTCTTGCCTTGTTCATTGATTGAAAAGAGAGAGAAAACAAGAGAGCTTTCTAAGCCGACGGGCAAATTTCTTCAGTTAAATTGAAAAGTTTGTTTTACGCAGTTGTAAGATAATTGTTGTGAAGGGTAACAACAACAAAAGATGTGTATGGATACGGATATCATTTTTAAGTGCTGAGGCATCGCTTACACTACAGTATAAGTAATGGAGAATACAGAATGAAATATAAAATTTTGCATATTGAAAAACGAGAATTTTCAGTTAAAAGAAAAATAGACACGTGTTATAGATTTGATAGTTTACATGATAGTCTACAAAACGCCGTAGGAAGACCTGGCTGACAGTCTCATCTGGCCCGTCACAAGGTGGATTCTGTAAGGGCATGCGTACGTATATGCATGCCCTTACAGAATCTACTTTGTGCTAGGAGGAGGATGTCATCCATTGGGTTAAGCGTAATGTAATTAAGCGTTTAATTAATTTTAGTAAATTACACGATAAGCTTACTGGTCGACAGCTGTGTAACAAGTTACACTATGATGATAGCATTGGCAGTGTATCAAGTTCTTCTTGTTCTTGACGTTGCTGTCAACAATCAATTTGAAATGATATTTATCGTATAATTATCTGTAGTTCTGTTGTGCCTCAGTAGGCTAAACGTATCGTCAGAAATAATACATGTTGTTATTCTTTTAGACACGTGACACCAACTTTGCGTGTGACCTATTAATATACCGAACGTTTCCAGTTTATACAGATTAAATCAGCTGGAAGAGTTCGTGTTTTATTCGCATCAGATGCGTGAGTTTATCTAGGATAACGCGCCTTTTCACGGGAGTAAATTTGAGATGAAATGGTTCGAAAAAGTGAAATTTAATGCTACGCTATATGAGACTGTCAGCCAGGCCTTCCTACGTTGTTAACCCACTAGGTTTCGACCAGAAAGCGATTAGACACTTGGAGAAGGTGCCTCGTTAGATTCTGTACCACATAATTAAACATCTTTTAATAAAAATCGAAGAGTGACAGAGATCTTTATGGACTTTTAAAAATTTTTTCTTTATGGTATGAGGTAGCGCACCCATTTATAAATTAAAATTAAAAGATTATCCTGTCTGATTTCACGCGTTTCTGTTTTATCTAAGGTGTACGTTTATATCTATGTACGCAGATCATCTATTGCGACTTTTTGTTCGTGTTATAATGTAAGCAAGGCGAAAAACTATTACAAATCTTCTACAACGTTTTGTGTGGATATTGTAAAAAATGGCGACTTCAGATTAATTATTCTAAAACTATTTCGGTTTTATTTTGGATCAATGCCTGTCGTTTTGACGACATACTCTATCATCCACACCAACGTTGAAATCTTTTGTGGTAATATTAGCTGTATAGCTACCCCATACCCTAAGGAACACCTTTTAGAAGTCCATAAAGATCTCTGCCACTCTTCGACTTTTATTAAAAGATGTTTAATTATGTGGTATAGAATCTAACGAGGGACCTTCTCCAAGTGTCTAATCGCTTTCTGGTCGCCTAGTGGGTTAGCGCCGTAGGAAGGCCTGGCTGACAGTCTCATATAGCGTAGCATTAAATTCCACTTTTTCGAACCATTTCATCTCGCGCGTTATCCTAGATAAACTAACGCATCTGACGCGAATAAAACACGAACTCTTCCAGTTGATTTAATCTGTATAAACTGAAAACGTTCGGTATATTAATAGGTCACACGCAAAGTTGGTGTTACGTGTGTGTGGGGGGGTTAATGCTTTATTTGACATCTCTCTAACAACTGTTAAGCGAATTTGGCTTCTAGACAGTCATAAAAAAAAAACCTTTAGATGACAAAAAAATTAAGAAAAAATTATACATAAGAAATTAAAGTATTATGTAAAAAAGATAACAAACACTCCTCCTTTCTCAAGAGAAGAACACAAACCGAAAAAAAGTATACTATATTCCAGTTTTGGATAGATAAAAATCATAGAGACATTAAGAATCAAAAACGAGCACATAATCAAATAGCGATGAGCGATTCTCATTTATTACATTCAACAATGTTCTATGAGATCTTCCCCGATCAAAAATCTCACGCCTTTCACGCAACAAAGAAGGATTTAAGACGTATTCACGAAGATAGAGAATAAAAAGTTTTTGTTGTATAAAATCCGCAATAACCGTTGGGTTTGTAGCAAGAATGGTAGAAATCAACTTGTTCCAGTGTATTTGGCAGAGAGTTTTTATCGACTTATATCTCGGTAAATTTTCAATTTCAACATTCCTAGCATTGTACCACTGGTACATCAAGCGAAATTGTTGACGATTTAATGCTTCTAATTGATTTTGTTTGTTAGGTGACAAAATTGGAAAAATATTTAACAGTGACTAATAATACGGACGAGTATAAGCATTAAAAATTCGATAGCAAACTTCTTCGCTCATCATACGACTGGAGACAAGTCGTTTAAAAGGTGTAGAATTTTTACGAATTTTGCCTTTTATATAATCAATGTGGTGAGAAAAAGATAGTTTAGCGTCGAGGATAGTACCAAGATCTTTAAATTTAGAAACATGTGACATCGTATGTCCTTGACACTGAATAACAGGAAGAAAAGGATTAACTTGACGATGAAACAAGGTCCAAACAGTTTTTTGAAAATTGATAGATTGTTTCCATGTTATAGAATAGGTTATAAGACGAGAAAGAACATCCGTGACTTGTTCAGAAAGTTTACGCACTAAACAACTAGATGACAAGTAATCATAAGGCGAAAAAACCACTTTTAAATCGCCTGCAAAAAGATGCTTCCAATATAAATCAGAAATACCGTTTAACAAATCATAATGATAGACGATAAAAATTACCGGGCCTATACAGCTTCCCTGTGATACTCCTTTAAACAAATAAAATAACATAGATTTTCTTCCCTTAATCTCAATATATGCAGTTCGATTTTTTAAATAGAAACGTAGCCATGCAATCAGGTACAGAGGACAGTCTAAGCGATGAAGCTTCAGCCATAGTCTCTTGTATCAGAGCTGGTTAAAAGCAGACTTAAAATCAACAAATAGCGCTGCTGCCGCTGTATTTACTTTTAAACTTTGACCAATTTGGTCGATTACAGAGGCAAGACGAACTGCCATATTGTGATCTGGTCAAAACCCGGTTTGTTCATCCGGGAGAATCCCTGAGTCCTTTATCCACCGATGGGAATGAACGAAAAAGCATTTTTCAAAAACTTTAGAAAAACACGATAACATAGAAATAGGACGAGTTTCATCAACAGATACAATGTTTGTTTTCGTTTTAGACAATAAAATAATTTTCGCTGTAAGCCAATGAGAAGGAACACACAGTTTCGTAACAAAAACATTAAAACATGTTCTAAGAATTTGACGTTGACCCTCGGGTATGAGTTTAATAACGCGATTTGAGATACTATCTAACCCACAAGAATTTTTGTTTTTTAAAGAAGAAAGCGAATTTTGTATATCCTTTTGAGAAATAATAAATGGTGTTAAAGGACTTAGGATATCTCTTTGTCCACCTGATCAGCTTCTAATTCGGTAGGAGCAGAACAAAAAGGATGGGCACAAAATTGCTCTACATAAAATTGTCTCGCATGGTCACACATTTCACCAGGATCCGAAATTACCTTGCCGTTTGATAAAAAACCTTGAACAGGAAAAGCACGCGAACCAAAATGATATTTTACTTTGCGCCAGAAGGAAGATGCGTCATAATCACTTAGCGTTTTACAATACACTTTCCAAGAGTTTCTCTTATAGGCAAACACTTCACGGCAGATTATCTTATTGAAGGTTTGTAAAGCGTTTATAAAATAAGGATGACGAGTTCTTCGTGAAAGACGAAGACAACATCCTCTCGGTAGGTAATGATATCCGGCGGGAGTGAAGGCCTATACGAGTCCAGATAATAAACATAAGTAACATGCGAACTAGCCAGAGAAAGAAAACGTTCATACAAACTAAAAAAATAAACTTTATCTGACATAGTTTTATAAAGCTCATTCCAAAAAACAGTTGTAAAAGTTAGAAATAATTCATATACATTCCAATAAGTGCGCTTAATAGGAAAAAAAAGATCTTTAGTAAACAATTTAAGCGCAGGAGATCATACTACAGGATAGTGATCACTACCTATAGACGGGAGGACAGAAAATTTAGAAGGTAACATTGAACTGGGAGCTATAATCAAATCTATAGTTGCAATAGAACGAGTAGAAGTCGGAATAAACTTGTTTACAATTTCAAAATCAAAATAAGATGATAACCACGCGTTTAAAACGCTTCCCTTATGATTGTTGGCACTTAAGGACCAAGACGAATTTTTCGCATTAAAATCACTTAATAAAACAGTTTGAGAGTGGCGGTTTACAATTTTGTCAAAAATGGCTATGGACATCGGCTCAGAAGGAGGAGAATAACACGTAACAAGTTGAAATTTCTGAGAAGAACAACCAACCTCTAAAACAATAAGATTTGGAACATTTAAAAAATCTGGCACACGCGTACACTGAATAGAACGATTGGCAGCACATAAAACTCCGCGAAACTCATTAGTACCTTTTTGACAAAAAACATTAAAATTTTTGAAATGTTCACAAAAAAGTTGTGCAGATAAATTATCGTGGTGAGTACTATTTAAAACAATTATAGCTGGTTTAGTTGATGACACAAGTTCAAATACATCATAAAAAAATTTATTAAGACTGCCTACATTTAAAAGAAGAAGAGAAAACTGGTTCGCTGTAGTAAACTGTTCAAAAATTCTTTCCTGATGTTCTTTCCATCTTTTTAACAAAAACTCCAATGTCCCAGCTTCAGTCCACTCTGTTACGAGCTCAGTCAAGATTTTTACCTGTGTTTTTGTTAAGTGGTCAATTGGAATGTTATAGTTTAATTTTTGTTTAGGAACAAATATATCTGCTTCAGGATTCATTGCATACGTTGTTGCGTGAACATCGATGATCGTCTTGTATTTGAAATCGTTTTGGACGATTTTGGCATTAATGTAGATAATGTTGTTAACTGTTTTCTAAAATCGACAAAATTGTCCAAAACATTAAGAAATGTTTTTTGTTCATTTGAATTGTCCAATGAGTCATAGATGTATTCAGCGATTTCATGAACCAAAGGAGACAAGACGTGATGGACATAAAACGTTACTTCTCGAACTTCACGTTGAACTTCATTACAATTTTGATCAATTTTGATCTCCAATTCACACAATTTATTTTCGATTTTAGTTTCAAGACGTAACTGCTGCTCAATACATTTCGTCATTTGCTCATTTATTTTTTCTAACAGTGGTATTGAATCAGATTGCACAGCTGATGTTGTAGCAGCAGTCGAAAGTGCAGGCACAACCCCAGTCGTTCGATTTGTCCAAACATTAGGAGGAGCTGTTACTGCTATACTTCTTGCACGCCTCTCGTCGTATAACTTTTGTCGCTGTTCAATTTTGACACGACATTGCGGATTCCCCGCCATGTGTGGTTCCTGACAATTTGCACAACACACCGCGCTTTCGCATCGAGGATTATATTCATGACTTTGCCCACATTTGAAACAGATAGGGTTATCTTTCTTGGAACAGTTCGCAGCTGTATGGCCACCGTATTCTTGACAGACATAACACCTGAGGACTCTAGTCGGAGGAATATACGGTTCAATTCGATAAGACGTATTGTCGTCATCCAACACGATATTTTTTCGTTTAAGTATTTCAGGTAAATGTTGATTGGACGAAAAGTCGAGACGAACCTTTGAAATACGTCTTCCTCCACGAATATAAAGACGCCCCGCTTTAACAATCGAAGGATATTGTATTTTTAGTTCTTCTCCAAAATCCTCGGCTTTCCATTGAGGAGGTACGTCAAAAAAAAAACCCTGAATATGATAACAGGGTCTTTTCTGGCAAATCAAAATCATATTTATACCCACATATTTTTTCAGGCCATTTCCTGCGATCGAAAAGACTATCAAACTAAATCGTTGTATTTGCATATAATAAAAAAGACGTTATTGGACCTGAAGTCGAATAACGCCCGTACAAAAGATTGACTTTTACTTGATTGTTAAAATCTTTAATAAGTAATAATTCATTAGGTTTATTTTGTTGATCCTTAAATGTGATGCGAAAAGGAAACACGCCACGTTTTTGGCCACGGGCATGACGATTGTTCAAACTTGAATTTTCGAAAACTGTTTTTCTAAACGATCGATTTTGATTAAAATAAGATGAGATCGTATGGTCGTTACTTGACTCTGGTCGAAGTTGTGTTTCACCACTGTTACGAACCTTTTTTGATGGAGTAGCCACGTTCACAAGTTCTGGTGAATCATGATTTCTTCTTTTTTGTCTATGTTCTCAAATCTGCTTTGTTGATATGTCTTCCCATACTCATTACCCTAGTCCAACATCTTAAAACCAAGATCTTGCCCAAGATCTTACGTTAGGATTTGGCAGTAGATCTTGGAAAAATGCGTACAAGATCTCAGAACATTTTTGTACCCAAGATCTTACGCAAGACCTTGGGTACGGATATTTCTTGATATCTTGTACCCAGGATCTTGAACATTTGAAAAATCGTCATATTTCAAAACTAACTTTTTTTCTTTG